CCTCTAGACAAAGACTTCATTGATTATGAGAAGCTTAGAAAAAGTGGGTTTGACAAACAACAGGCGCTGAAAAAGCTTCAAAGCAATACGGTTCCTCCATCTGGCTTGTATAATTACAATTACTTACAAGAGACTTGGAAGAAAAATGGAATGACAGTGTTCAAAGACTTTTTGAAGTGGTACAACAACAAAGATGTAGTTCTAACCCTTGAGGTAATGATGCAAAATATGATTCAGTTTTATCATAACAAGGGGATATATATGTTAAAACTTGGATGCACACTTCCAAATCTAGCAAACATACGTCTACACAAATCTACAAATTACAAGTTTAAACCATTTTGCGAAAGTGATAAAGACTTGTGTGAAAAAATTACAGAAGACATGACTGGTGGACCTTCCATTGTTTTCACTCGAAACGCTGTAGTTGATGAAACATACAGCAGAAATTTATCAAATGTTTGTAAGTCAATCGTTGGAATTGATGCAAGCCAGCTTTACCGTTTCTGAATGTGTCAAGATATGCCAACAGGACTGTACACGAGATGGGAATTTGACACTGAAATGCAGAAGTTCAAGGCTAGACATAATCGAACTAGCAACTTTGAGAATATGGTCATGTCTTTCTATCAAGAATCAAGACCAGAATGTAAAATTGAGAGCTTTTTTTACATCTGGAAAACATAAAAAAATCGACTGTTTTAATGTTGATGGTTACTGCGATCACTGTAAAACAGTATTCGAAGCAATGGGATGTTACTACCAATTCTGTTCCTGTCAAGATGCTCGTCCCTACTTTACAGAACAGGATATTGAGCAAGGGAACAAGAAGAGAGAGATGGATGATATGCGACGAGAATACATTAAAGAGAAGGGATACAAAGTGGAAGAATTATGGGAGTGTGACTGGTGGGAAAGTTTCAAAACCAATGACAAGATAAAAAATCACGTCAAAACCCATTTTCCCTATAAAAGACCTCTTTCAACAGACTCCCTTCTAGCAAAAATAAATGATGGATCTCTTTTTTGCTACGTTCAGTGCGACTTAATTGTTCCAGATGAGCTAAAATCAAAATTTGCCAATTTTCCTCCAATTTTCAAAAACACTGAGGTTGGAAGAAACGATATTGGAGACTACAAGAAAAACTATGCAATCGAGAACGACATGTTGAAGCATCCTCAGAGAATGCTGATATCTAGTTTCAAGCTAGAAAATGGAACAGTTATAACTCCTCTGTACAACTTTTATATGGAACTTGGATTGCAGTGCACCAAAATTTACCGTTTTGTTCAATATTCTCCTCGGAAATGCTTTAATATTTTCGTTCAGTCAGTGGATGATGCTAGAAGAGAAGGAGATGAAAACCCTTTGTCAGGAGTTGAAGCAGAAACAATGAAACTTTTGCGTAATTCTTCGTATGGATATCAGATCATGGATAGATCGAGATTTACAATCACAAAATATCTGAACGATAAAAAACCCATAAGGCAATCAATGAACCACTGTGTAAGAAACTTAACACAGTTGAGAAGGACTTATATGAGGTGGAGTTATTGAAATCAACCATTGAGCACCGAGAACCCATCATTGTTGGTTTTTTCATACTTCAGTATGCAAAACTGAGAATGTTGGAACTCTACTATAACTTCTTTGACAAGTTCTGTGATGTGAATAAATTTGAAGAGTTGGAGATGGACACATACTCTGGACTCCTTTCTCAAAGCCTATAAAGCTAGCGAAACCAAAGGATTCTTTCCCTATGTGTGGTTTGATAAACCAGACAAACTTGACTTTCCTGAATTGCCACCGTATGAAGCCTTTTTCAGTAAACTTAGAAACAACAATCCTCTAGACAAAGACTTCATTGATTATGAGAAGCTTAGAAAAAGTGGGTTTGACGATCAACAGGTACTGAAAAAGCTTCAAATCAATACGGTTCCTCCATCTGGCTTGTATAATTACAATTACTTACAAGAGACTTGGAAGAAAAATGGAATGACAGTGTTCAAAGACATTTTGAAGTGGTACAACAACAAAGATGTAGTTCTAACCCTTGAGGCAATGATGCAAAATATGATTCAGTTTTATCATAACAAGGGGATAGATATGTTAAAACTTGGATGCACACTTCCAAATCTAGCAAACATATGTCTACACAAATCTACAAATTACAAGTTTAAACCATTTTGCGAAAGTGATAAAGACTTGTGTGAAAAAATTACAGAGGACATGACTGGTGGACCTTCCATTGTTTTCACTCGAAAAGCTGTAGTTGATGAAACATACAGCAGCAATTTATCAAATGTTTGTAAATCAATCGTTGGAATTGATGCAAGCCAGCTTTACCGTTTCTGAATGTGTCAAGATATGCCAACAGGACTGTACACGAGATGGGAATTTGACACTGAAATGCGGAAATTCAAGGCTAGACATAATCGAACTCGCAACTTTGAGAATATGGTCACGTCTTTCTATCAAGAATCAAGACCAGAATGTAAAATTGAGAGCTTTCTTACATCTGGAAAACAGAAAAAAATCGACTGTTTTAATGTTGATGGTTACTGCGATCATTGTGAAACAGTATTCGAAGCAATGGGATGTTACTATCAATTCTGTTCCTGTCAAGAAGTTCGTCCCTACTTAACAGAACAGGATATTGAGCGAGGGAACAAGAAGAGAGAGATGGATGACATGCGACGAGAACACATTAAAGAGAAGGGATACAAAGTGGAAGAAATGTGGGAGTGTGACTGGTGGGAAAGTTTCAAAACCACTGACAAGATAAAAAATCACGTCAAAACCCATTTTCCCTATAAAAGACCTCTTTCAAAAGACTCCCTTCTAGCAAAAATAAATGATGGATCTCTTTTTGGCTACGTTCAGTGCGACTTAATTGTTCCAGATGAGCTAAAATCAAAATTTGCCAATTTTCCTCCAATTTTCAAAAACATTGAAGTTGGAAGAAACGATATTGGAGACTACATGAAAAACTATGCAATCGAGAACGACATGTTGAAGCCTCCTCAGAGAATGCTGATATCTAGTTTCAAGCTAGAAAATGAAACAGTTATAACTCCTCTGTACAACTTTTATATGGAACTTGGATTGCAGTGCACCAAAATTTACCGTTTTGTTCAATATTCTCCTCGGAAATGCTTTAATACTTTCGTTCAGTCAGTGGTTGATGCTAGAAGAGAAGGAGATGAAAACCCTTTTTCAGGAGTTGTAGCAGAAACAATGAAACTTTTGCGTAATTCTTTGTATGGATATCAGATCATGGAAAGATCGAGACATACAATCACAAAATATCTGAACGATAAAAAAACCCTTAAAGCAATCAATGAACCACTGTGTAAGAGACTTAACACAGTTGAGAAGGACTTATATGAGGTGGAGTTATTGAAATCAACCATTGAGCACCGAGAACCCATCTTTGTTGGTTTTTTCATACTTCAGTATGAAAAACTGAGAATGTTGGAACTCTACTATAACTTCTTTGACAAGTTCTGTGATGTGTATAAATTTTTTGAAGAGTTGGAGATGGACACAGACTCACTTTACTTGGCACTTCCCGAAGAAAATTTATACGACTGTATCAAACCAGATAAGAGAACTGCTTGGGAAAAAATGAGGGAAAATGACTGTAGAGACTCTTTCAAGGCGGATGCAAAATCTAACTTCTTCCCTCGAACGTGTTGCAGTACGCATAAAAAAATCATGATAAACGGGAGCCGGGACTTTTTAAAGAAGAATTTAGATGTACAGAAATGCTATGTTTGTGTAGCAAGACATATTGCTGCTATGACAACAAGTCCGATAAGTTCAAATTTAGCAGTAAAGGATTAAATAAACGGGTTCTAGAAGATTTTGGAGACGGTCCCATGTCAAATGACAGGAGATTGCTTGATGAAGCAATTAACCTTACATCTATTGACAGCGGATTCAGAACTATAAATCATATGGTGGCCCTATGTGAACAGACAAAGAAAGGACTAAGCTATTTTTATCCAAAAAGACAAGTACAAGATGATGGAATTCATACAAAACCATTGAACTTATAAGAACTGATCTGGTGTAGTAAA